ACCTCCGGGGAGCCGCCTCCCTTTGTATAATTTTGTCTTGGTTTAGAATATCACTGTAACCTCAATTTTTTTTTGCGTTTCATTTTGAGCCTACTTTATATTCTTTTTTTAATGCTTTTTTTTCATAAATGGAGCATATTTACACAAAAGTTCATTAAAACAACAAAACACTTTTTAAAAAAATGACACGACATAAAGACTGCATTTACTTTTTTGATGTCAAATAAAATATCCTGAAAATGTTTCAATTTGAATTCATAATGAAAAGATTATTAGCGTTGCTTTAAAAAAACATTTAATTCTTTTGCAGAGGGATTTTTTTCTTTCTTTTCTTGCTAAAAGTGTCCGAGATTTGCAGCTTGTCTTTTTTTCCCCAATATGAAAGCTGATCGTCGTCCGAGTTCACGTTGGATCCTTTATTTATGTGTTATAATTGTTACGTTTTTTATTTTTATTATTATTATTTTTGCCTTAGTTGTATAATGAGAAAATATTAACAGCATATTTTATGCATTTAAATAATAAAAAAGGAATGAGAAACCCTGAGGGTACGTAAAAACTTAACCAAGTTTATTTTTTTTTCTTTTTAAGTAATACTAAAAACTCCCACCAGGTATCATCCGTTTTATTTATCAGTATGCCAGCAGGTTACTGTAAAAGTATGCGTGTTTATATTGGCAAGATTTCTCAAAATCCCATCAATCACCCATCTGTCCTCCTCTCAGTTTTTCTGGACAGTCCCACCTTTGTTACGCAAATTTCTCGCAGACTCCTCCGCTTTTAACTAGTCTGTGTTCCGATCATCTATTAAATCTCAGTGACTGCACGACAAGCCATTGTGAATTAAACAATAGATGTTTATTATTTTTTCCCCCTTTTTGTTTTTCATCAGTGATCTGCCTCTAGAATGCATCATCTATTGTCGGTAGACGGAGCGTGAACTGGTCACCTTGTCTTTCAGCTCAACACTTGGCCGCATGCCAGCGAGAAGGTGTCTGCCAGTTGGACCGAGGCGCAGGATTTGGGCGAAACTTGTTTTTCTGCTCTGTGGGTTAACTTTACGCTTTAGGTCTTAGCTTTTCCTAGACAATGAATGGCTGGCATGGCTATCACAGGGAGATCAATCAGCTTCTTAGAAACATGTGGGTGTTTCCACAAAGCGGACGCCTGGGATCACCCATGAACGTAATTAAAACCCTCATTTGATGTGACTCAGCGGGCTTATTAGACGTGCAGATATTTGCGTTTCAGGGTTAGGCCCACGAGGCGACACTGGCATCTATCAAGTCAATCCAGGACGAGGCTGGACACTGGAGCTTGTGCGTAACCACTGAGCCGGACCTCGAAGATCGAGTTCATGCTTGGCACTCTTTGTATCCGTCTGAGTCAGCGCCCTGTGGAAACCGGTAGCGCACCTGGCCTCCCTCTGATGCACTTATAGCGCACGAAAACGTTGGCTTTTTCCTCGCACCGTTGCAGGGTTTTTTTGCACATTAACCCAGGTGGCGGAACACGGCGGCCTGAACATCATGTCCCTGAACAAGTTCAGCCAGAGCTCCTCTTCCTCGTCATCCTCCAGCTCCATACGGGACAAGAAGGTCTTCGCCAAGCTCAAGCTCAATCTGTCGGGGGACTACCCGAGGAAGAACGCGGAGCTGCTCAGCGCTCAGTATGGGATAAACCTGCTGCTGGTCGGGGTGGCGCTGATACTGGCCATCGCGCACCGAGACGCCTCCGTTGAGGAGAAGGACCTGCTCTCCTTCACCACCGGCCTCATGATACTGCAGCTGATCTGGATGCTGTGGTACATCCTGGTGCGGCGCAGCCAGAGGAACACACGAACCGAGAGGGATGTCAATGCCACGACATGCTGGATAAGAGGTGAGCTTGGTAGAGGAGGCAGTCAGATGATGCATAGAAAGCGGCCCGTTAGAAGAACTGCAGGAGAGAACACGCGGTGTCTATTTTTAAAGATTGATGTGATTGAAGAAGTATTCACACCCTTTTAACTTTTTTCACATTTTGTCTGGTTACAATAACAGATTTCAATGCATTTTATTGAGGTTTCATGTGACAGATGAACGTCAGGCTAGAACTGCAAACAAAAATCTGGAAAGTGTGGCCTGCATATTCAGCTTCACTGCAATACCCCCTAAATAAGATCCTATAGGCAACCTCAACAAGTCGCATTTAATAGTAAACAGTGTTAACCTGTGTGGAAAATTGCTTGAGTGTCTTAAAGACCAGAAACCTCTAAGTTAAATAAAAAAATTATAAAAGCAGATGTGTGGAAGAAGACGCTGTGGTTCAGATTGGACGAAAATTCTACTCTTTTCCTTTATTTCTTTTCTTTTCTTTCCTTGATCACACCATCCCCCACGGTGAAATATGATGATGGCACCATCATGCTGCCAGGAAGCTGGCAACAGTAGATGGCGAAAATAGATAATATAATTTCATGCCTCACTTTGAACCAAAACTAAAACACACAAACAAAAATCATAACTATGTGCTACTTTCTGTCAAATCAATTTCCAGGAAACACTGAACCGTTTCATGCTTATGGCTATTTTTCTGTAAATGACAAACATGGTGGAATTTGTTTCTTTTTTTTTTTTTTTTTCTTGGCAGGTGGTTTAACTCTTCTTGCCATCCTCTCGTTGATCATGGACGCCTTGAAAATCGGATACTATGTTGGATATCGGCTGTGCTTGTCGGCATCGCACGTAGTCTATCCCGTCATCCACGCCATTCACACCGTAGCGCAGGTGAGTTCACAAACCTCCTTTAATATCAGCGACGTGGTAATCTTTCACCAGCCAGGTCCTTATTATCTGTGTGCCACCAAAGAACCCTGGATAAAGAAGTGCCCTTTGTTGCAGAAACACTGTAATCCTCTCCTTTTCCATGTTATTTGAGTGTAACCTCATATGGCAAAGCAAATCTGTGTGGTAAAGAGACTTAAACACTCAGTTTAAGATTAGAAATCATTTTTTAATATATAACAGTGGTATTTGTGCCAAATGCTGGAACTGTGAACTTGTTTTGATTTTTTTTTTTTACAAGCCTTTTAAGACGTTTACTTTTGTTTGATTTTTTTTTTCTCTTTTTTCTACTTTTTAGGTAAATTTTCTCTGGTTTCACATCAAGGATGTGATCAAGAGCTTTGAGACATTTGAAAGGTATAATAAAACTCTAGTGTTTTATTATTTGAGAGTCATGTTAAAAGAATGGAAACACACATCCCACTTTTTAGACTTTTTGTACCATGTATCTAAAAAATACATTTTTTCTTCTTTTTTAAGGATTAAAAGTTAAAAAAAAAAGAAAAATTACTCAACCTTACAGTGCAAGACACCAACTATTTCCACACGCTGTTCGATGATTATTACATAAATGTCTACTCAGGTTCGGAGTGATTCACGCGGTCTTCACCAACCTCCTCCTGTGGTGCAACGGCGTGATGTCAGAGACGGAGCATTTTATGAACAACCACGTCAGAAGGACCTTGGAACTGGAATTTAAAAATATCACCGAAGGTAAGGGGCCAGAGGGTCGATTGCTGCCTTGTACCTCAGAAGAAAAGTACACTTGTCCACTTGAGAGCTCGCTTCAATGGATGAAAGAAAACTAAAAGAGAAGGGGGTCTGAGAGGGGAAGGGAGGGAAGCTTAGCCTCCCAGTAGGTCTTGTTTGTGTCGAACATCTCTCTATTAGGTTTCACAGCGGAGCACAGATTTGCTGGTCCTGGCTCCCCCCCTTAATCGCCCTTTCTGCACACTTCAGACACCGCTGGCCTCTTTGGCAACCCCCCGCTTGACCCTAGACATCTTTATCCCAAGGCTGCTTAGTCCCAAGGGTGCTGCAATTACAGTAACTGATACATCTAAGCCTGGGGTTGGGGGGTTCAGTTGCTCCTCCTCATATCCGGCTGGCTGTGAGGGTGGCTGCACCCTGACTGTTCCCCTTTTAATTAAAAGGTGCAGCTCCATGGTGGTGGCCTCTCATGGGCTGCACGGGGGAGGTGGGGGACCGGGTGGGGGCACACGGCAGGGTTTTGTTAAGGTGTGCCCCTGGGGGCAACCAATAACCACAGTGGGCTTTACACGCAGTGGGTAAGTATAAAACATACATTCAACTGCAGGTGCCTTCAGGTACCGGGGGAAATTTCAAATCAGTAAAATATTACCTGCTATGGGTGAACACTGAAAAGCAACAAAAACAGATCAGGTGAAGAGCTTTGATTTATTGCTGTTAGGAAAATTATTTAATATTATATACCTAAGAATGAGTTCAGTTCCAGAGACAAGTTGAAATGAGCATCAATGCATTTGGAGGTAAAGAAGAAGCTTGCAAATCTCTGAACCTCATCACTAAATGTGAAGCATGGAGATGACAGGATTATGCTGTGGGACTCTTGCTAAAGGGGGAATTTGTTCCCTTCATAAAACAGATGGCATCAAGAACATGATGTGGAAATATTGAAGCAACATTTCAAGACATCAGCCACACTCAATGTTTTGGAGCGATCGTCACAAAGACAACATCTCTGTACCAAAATATTTGACCAAAGTCACACAATTTATTTTTAATAATGCTAAGAAATGCATGTAAAGTTTTTTTTTCTTGTTCCCCCAACTTTCTGGCTTCATATTACTTTTAAATATTGCAGGTCTTTCTAATTTCAACAAGTATTTTTTATGCCATATTATGGCCAAAGGTCTTGCAAGTTGTTTCATCAAATGACAGAAAGTGTCTCATAAAAAGAAAGGTCTTCAGATTTTTATAACCTCCTACAAAAAGACGCAGGAAGTCGTACTTTTGAGGTGTTGCCTTAAAATGCACGAATGCACTATTTAACTCAAATCTTGTGAATCAGAACTTTATGATTTCATCTGAACATTTTTTAAACCGCTTAAAGAAAAATGAAAAGGTAACTTTTGAAATTAGTGGAAAGAAATCCTCTAAAAGTGTCTCTTATGTTATTATTCTGTCATTTTGCAATCATTTTGCTCATCCTGACTAATCTAAAATGTAAAAGAAACTGATGTAACGTCAAAGCGGAAACATCTTTTCACACCGTCTATGTAAATATATCATTTTACCAGTTTTGTAGCATAAAGCCCTGACTTAAAAGGTACATATTTGTTCATCTTAATTAACATACGCCTTATACGACTTCATAAGGATACCTATTCTTATGTAATGAATCACGTTATATCTTGTTGCTGGAGGTGGAGCTGATCCAGTGTTTATTTAGCAGGAATATTGCAGTGGCTTAGAGGGATTTACTCAAACAATGAATGGAAATGTTGGCAAGTTGAAGCCTGCTGAAATAATGCTGGTTACGCACTCGTTTCATCCATAAGAAGACATTATTCCAAACTGATTGAACTGGTTTGACTGGCCTAATATTTTCTGCTATATTTATGATCTTGATATTCTTTGCAAGCTGGTCTGATACAAACGAATTTTGGAAGCAGTTAGAAATCCCTGCTGGCCTGAGGGGCCCAGGATGAGAGAACTGAATAATGTCCCTGTCGTGTAAATATGATGGGAAACATCACACGTTCACAGATGTTACAAATTACTTTTATTTTGCTCCAGTGTCATTTAGTTCATCGTGCCAAAAATATCTTTAGCTACCTTCAAAAATGCATTTTCACTTATTTACAGCGTTAACTTGAAGTACTTCCTACCAGTATTTCACTAGGAATTAGTAACAATTTCTGCCAGCAGTTATCAATTAAATTACAAAAATGAAAATGCAACATTCACGGTAGCTGTGGTGAAAACACCAAGAAACTCACAATGTGTTACAAGTTATAATTGTCTAAGAAAGGCTGGACAAAGAATTAGCAACAAAAATGGAAATATAAATTAATTTGATTGAAATAGAAAACTTTGCAGAGAATGTATTGTGGCTATCTCAGTTATTTTAAAATGCGTAATGACTGCATGCAGATTTATACCAACAAATCCCAACTCTCTATATTAAAGCATTTTCTCTTATTTCCATATGTATATTCTTTTTTTTTTGGGATATTGCCTTTACAATACTCAGCAGGAGCATACATCTCACTTATTTTCACTGGACACTAAAAATGTCACCGATGTATAACAGGGCACCAAATGTTCAGCAAAAAGAATGGGAGGGAAAACGGCCCTTTGTTTAACTCCATTAGAAATTATAAGTATGTGATTTTGTGACTTAATGATGACATTTGTTAAACTGAGTGAGTAAATTGATACACTGAAAGTTCTCGGATAAAATACCATGCTGCTGGACCGTAAACATGTGCCAACCACACACTCAAAGCAACAGATGATACATTTAGTTTCATTGAATTCCCAAGAAACATTTAACAAAAACCTACTGATTGTAAAAGTAAAAAAAATCTAAAAAATACAGCAGCTACAGTTAACTTTACTGCATTGCTTTATAAGTAGGATTGAATGAAATATATCTATGCTTGGATTGAATGAACTTTCTTCCTATGAATTGGAACTACAAAAATAAACTGAATTGGATTAAATATTATATCTAGTATTACTATTCTGTTATTAGGCATTTTGAACTCTTTGCTAAGAGTGAACATTTGCGTTGTGCAAATAACTTCCTCACATATTCTTAATATCCCTTACATTAGAGTTGCTTTTAGAGACCAGTGTTTGTCTCTCCGTATATGAGACTGTATATTGTAAGATGTCTTGAACTAAAACATCTAATTTGCACATCAAAATAGCAACAATTGCTGCATATTATTTAACCTTATATTATATTTAGGCCTAATGAGTTTGTTGGAATCTTATTAAATTACAAAAATTCTGTTCAGATGAGTTTCTCTGCATCCACCTGATTAATATTGCAATGTTATTGTAAGTGTGATAATATTACTTAATTACTCCCGCATACATATTATCTTCTTTAACAAGTCTCCTTTGTTTTAGATTTCTTAATGTTTACAGATTCTTTCTTCCCTTCACTAAACTTACAGTGCTTTATTCTTTCCAAAAATGCCGACACGTTGTTAAACCTTTTGGTTTCTCCCATTGTTATGTCTCAATAGACGGGTGTGTTTTAATAATGGTTGGCATAACAACAATATTTTGTTGTGTAACTCGTAATTTGTCTTTCATGCCTTTGTACGCATTCTTGTTTGACCTGTTTTCCAGGGGAGCTGGAGCTGGAGCCGGAGCTGCATTGCAACTGCACAACGAGCACATGCGCCCTGTTCTCCCAGAGCTTCACGTACCTCTTCCCGTTCAACATCGAGTACCACATCTTTGTCTCCGTGCTGCTTTTCGTCATGTGGAAAAACATCGGACGCACCATCGACGTGTCCTCAAACAGAAAAAGTCTGGTCACCAAAACACAGGGGTTGACTTTGGGCCCCATTCTAGGTCTCCTCGCACTGGTCAGCACTATCGGAATACTGGTGGTCTACATTACGCGGTTAGAGGGCCCCCGGGAAGTTCACCAGTCAGCCATTTCTATGTTCTACATTTACGGCATCGTCATGCTGGTGGTCATGTGTTCTGCTGGCGCTCTGGGTTTGCTCATCTACCGCGCAAACCACATGCCTCTCGACGCATCAAAGAACCCTTCGAGACAGCTGGACACGGAGCTGCTGTTCGGGTCGGCCCTGGGCTCCTGGTTCCTGTCCTGGTGCAGCATCGTGTCAGTACTGAGCAGCAACAGTGACCCTCCCCACCGCTGGACCAACCTAATCTACTCCCTGCTCATTGTTCTGGAAAAGTACGTCCAGAACCTCTTCATCATCGAGTCCCTGTATCGCCGGCAGGAGAGCGTGGAGAGGGCGGACCCGGAGTTGCCCACCAATCCGGAGGTTTCCTCGGTGACTGCGTCTCTGCCTCCCTTAAACGGGATTGACAACCAGGCATACGAGTCTCCAGGCGGGGGCTCCGGCCCCACGGAGAATGAGCAGGAGGAGAACGGGCAGGTGTACGGATCCCAGCGGAAGCAGTCGAATGTGCCGCTGCCCGTTGACTCTCACGTTGCGGAATCCTCAAACATGAAGAGGCTCATCCTGAAGAACATTGCTGTTTTACTGTTATTGTGCAATGTTTCGGTAAGTTTTTCTACACACCATCAAAACCATGGAAACAGGATTCACAACCCAGCTTGTAAACTAACTCAAACAAGCTTTCGAGGCATAGTGATAATTTACTGCCTAAAATTTATGGCACTTTTTTGGGGGGGTTTATGCAATGAATTAAGGAACTAGTGTTTTCATACTACATGACTGTCTCCCTTCATTTTAAAAACAATATTGTCTTGGTTCAGTCTCTTACTTTAAAGAAAAACTTTTAGAAACCTTGCAGCTGGAAAATCCACAATTTATACAAGATATTATGTGCACTTAGCATTTCCTCCAGAGTTACAAACTCTCTGGTGAAGTACTCAACTATTTGAGTATCATACTTTTCAAAAGTGCTCACAAAGCAAATGTTTTCACATTTTGTTTTGCTACAACCACAAACAATGCATTTCCTATGTGAAATTGACGAAAAAGTAAACACTAAATTCACTTTTTTTGTTTCTTTACACACAACTTTGAAATGTGTTTTTTGTACTTTGTCTCCTGAGTCCATACTTTGCATTGGAAGGTGGTTTACCAATCACAGCTGCAGTTGTCTTGGAATATGTCTCTAACAGCTTTGTAGATCTAGAAAAAGATGTTTTCTCATCACTTTCGTTCTCGCAAATAGATCATTCTAAGTTAGACTGGATAGGAAGCACCTATGAACGTAATACTTTAATGCTGTGCCAAAGATTTTCAGTGGGATTGTACATTTAAGGTTTTGTTCAGTTGGAAGACAAAACCAAGTGTTTAGGATTTCCTCGTTGTTAACTCTGTCCATTTTCCCTTCAACTCTGTACGACTGCTCTTCCTCTGCTGAGGATTAGCAACCCCAGATCATGATGCTGCCACTGCCATTTCGTTTGGCAAAATGGGATGGCATTTTCATTTTGCCAAACGAAAATGAAAATCAGTCTGCTGATTTTTCCGTACCCTTTATGTGGCTTGTGGCAAACTGCAAACTAGGTATCGTGTGGCTTTCTTCCAACAATTGTTTTTTGTGCACGCAGCTGATAGAGACAGAACGTCCCACCTGAGTTTTGGATTGCTGCAGCTCCTCCAGAGCTTCCATGGACCTTTTGACTGCTACTTTGATTAAAGCTCACTTTAGCCAGGTTTGTCAGTGTAGGGTAGGCCAGGATTTGTTGGGTTTTCAGTCTCGCTGTCCTCGCTTTCAGGTGATGGATTGAACTCTGCTCTGTGAGATGTTTAAAACCTGGAGTATTTAACCGAGCTTTTTCAGCTCCTCCACAACTTTCTCCCTGACGTGTCCTGTGTCCCTTTGTTTTTTATGAATGTGGTTGTTAACTACTGTTGTCTAGCAAACCTCTGAGGCCCTTACAGAATATGCATAGACGGAATCCGTTCACTGATTAGGTTGGTTTAGAAGCCAAGGGGTTGTACTGGATTTTATTTAGGAGTATCAAAGTAAAGGGGGCTGAGTACATGTGCACAGCCAACATTGATTCAGTTTTATTTGTTCTAAACTTTGAAAGTGCTCTGTCACTTTCTTCTACTTTCCAATAAAAAACTCCTTTGTGTTTCGCTAACGAAATATTGAAACACTGACATTTGAAGCTCTAATGACAAAATGTGAAAGGGTTTTTATTCAGCCGGACGGACATATAAGCCGGACGGAAATAATAAGCGTAAAGTATCATTCCAGTGAGTCAAGTTTCCCCTTGTTTCATGTTTTAAAATTATTTTTCAAAAACCACATCTTTTCTTCTTTCAGCTGTGGATCCTTCCCGCCTTCGGCTGCAGGCCACAGTACGACAACGGCCTGGAAGAGGAGACGTTCGGCTTCAGCACGTGGACCAATGTTCTCAATTTTGTCATTCCTCTCAACCTCTTCTACCGCATGCACTCCGTGGCCTCCCTGTTCGAGGTGTTTCGCCGAGTCTGATCGAAGAGCCGGCGAGCAGTGGCCGACAAGATGCGCCGGAACCCTCGCCAGCAACCAGCGGCGCAGTTCAGCTGTTCAGGAGAGACGAACCATATAGCCTGTGCTCCTTGAAGAATGACAGAAAGTGTTTTATGCATACTTATGAGGAGAATATAGGTATTTTTGCTAAATTTATAGGGACTCTTTAGTACTTTATAATCTGTTCTGATAATTGTTCCAGCTGGGGTACAATCCATTGTGGAACTGAATGCTTAATCTGAAATGCACATTATATATTCTTATAATCGTGACTAAATACAGACTGTAGAAAACTGATCGAGTCACAAAATCCTGAAGTTAACAGTGCAGCCACTGCATGCAACGTAAATGGATAACGTTCTCACTTATCCATGTTTAAAGTTTAGATAGAGATGTAAAACAGAATGCATAGCAGAATTGCAAGTTTGCAGTTACAATCTTATCACAACGTTTTTTGCATTTTGTTATTAGTTGGACATAAGTTCTCAGCTCGTTCGTCTCTCCGCCACCAGAGTCGTCGTACGCTCTGAATCTGTAGTCCGTTCATCTGATTGGAAGATGTATTTCAAATTGTTACACTGAAATGTTGTCCTTTGTGAACCAGATAAAATTCACAACGTTATCACGCGTCAGGATAGGCACTTCTTTAATGTCACACCAGAAAATATTGTTACTGCCATTACCAGCCACCACAGATGAGTGGTGTCGCTAATGGAAATGCAATAAAAACAATCACAGTCTGGGACAAAACTTTGCACTAAAGGCGTTACTATGAAATTTTGCTGAAAGTTTTATTCAGGTGTCCGATTGAGTTCTCAGTCTGGTGCTATCCTTTCGGGTTCTCTATGTGCCAAGTTGTGGGAAACAAACAAACAACAACAACAAAAATGATTCTCGCATATTACTGTAGTCCTGTATGTACTGCTACTCTGATCAAAATTTCTCAGCTGCTCTATTTTTTGCCTATTTGATTAATTTGTGCTTTCAAGAGATTACATCAATATATATGTATATATTCTGTGCATACAATAAAAAAATATTTTTCTTTTTCAAACTTAAGACATATTTTCCTTTTTTTTTTTTTTTTTGTCTTACGAAGGATCAATGCCACTTAAACACTTTCACTTCACTTTGTAGCCACAAACTTACGTTCATTTTATTGGGATTTTAAACAACAAATATAGCATGATTGTGAAGTGGAGGAAAATTGTACACGCAAAATGGTGTGTGTGTGACAGAAGCTAACACTCATCACCCTGAACACACCGTACACACGGTGAAACATGGTGGTAACAGCTTTATGCTGTGGGAATGCTCTTCTTCAGCAGTGACAGGGAAGTTGGCAAGAGTTGGTGGCAAGACGGATGAACCGGAACACAGGGAAATCACTGAAGAAAAATGGTTAGAGACTGCAAATAATGGTGGAAGTTCACCTTCCAACACACACACACACGCATACAACCCGAGCTGCATTAGATGGGTTTGGTTTAGAGAACATTATCTAAACCAATGTTTAGATAATGTTGGGATTGAAATCTGTTTACGGACGTTTCCCAACAGTTGAGCGTTTGTTAGTGAGGCAGTGAGATGTACATCCGGCTTGCAGCACCCATTCACACCACTGGGTGGAGCCAGACTGGTTTGAAGCACAACGGCCACTTTTATTTCTTAAACGTGTGCTTTACACTAAATGCGTGTGTGAGGAGGAGGGGGGGGGGAGAGGACCGACAAAATCTTTGACAAATACAAATCTAGTTTTTAAGCGACTTCCAAAGAGCAAAACAAATATTTCCCTTTTCATATTGAATTTTTAAATTGCGATATTCTGTACTTTTTTTTCTTTTTCTTGTTTGTTTGAAAATGAAGTCAGTCCATTGCAGCTTTGGCGACGAAAAACTAAGGTTCCCTCACAACACTTGAATGTGTGCATAACGCCCTTGTGACGTTTGCGAAGTGCAGAGGTATCCTATAGATGCCGGATGGGACGCCGTTTTGCCTCCTGACGTGGCCTGATCCCCGCAGATTATGGGTCAGGCTCCTCCAAGAGAATTTGGCACCGGGCGTCAAGGGGATTATTCCAGCATAGTGTCTGAACGATCTGACAGGCACGCAGACACTTCTAAAAATAACCGTGACGTTTCAGAGGCGGAAGCCGTGCGGCTGTTGCCGCTGCACTGACACACGGCGACGCGGCGCTCCTCGCTCTCCGTGCCCGATGAGTGCGAGTGTGTGACTCACCGGCTTTGAAAAGAAAAGTCCCTGAAGAGGGTGAGCTTTGACCTCCCAGTCAGGGATTGTTAGAGGGGGATAAGCAAACACCTGGGATCAGGAATAGTCCGAGAAATATGTTCCAGCACGCTGAAGTGTCGAAATGGCAGCCTATATATATATATATATATATATATATATATATATATATATATATATATATATATATATATATATATATATATATATATATATATATATATATATTTTTTTTTTAAAGAAAATGAAGGATAGATTAAAAAAATAATTTTTTTTATAAAAAATTATAAAAAAAATTATAAAAATTATAAAAATTATAAAAAAATTATAATTTAAAATAATTATAATGCTAAAAATTTGTTTGAACGTAAGCTGTTTCGTATGCTCCCAAACTACATCCTGATCCTCTTTGCTGCGGGCTGCCTGCGTTTCAGCACCACGGACAGAGTCTGTGTTGGTTGAGTGCAGCGCCTATTCCAATCATTTGACCTTTTTCACATTCTCTCGATAAGGATAAATGTTTTTTTTATGATTATTATTTATTATTCTTACAAATAAAAATTTGTTTCAACCTGGGAATGGTTTGCTGTGCGCCATTTGTTTCTCCCCCAGACAATGTTTTACATATTGGTCAAAAAAAAAAAAAGAGTTACATTTTGGTCTTATATTACCAGCGCGCGTGTGTATTTGCCGTGCCCTCTGTGGGCTTGTGGGAACGTTCTCATGACAGACAGATTCTCCCACCTGAGTTTCGGATCTCTGCGCCAGAGTCGTCTCCTTTACCTGCCTGTCAAGATGAAGTAGATAGTCGTATCTTGGTCGGTTTGCAGTCGTGGCAAACTCTCTCCAACAGAGCTATGTGGAAATATCTAAAGCTTGTGACACGGTTAACACCCCGCTTTAAACATCTCCACAAATTTATCCCGCCGACATGTTTGACACGTTTCTCAGTCTGCGGTCTATTTGCTTACTAATGTTACCCAACAAACATCTTAAGTCTACAGAGAACACCTGAAGTTTTACTTGGATTTTAAACCACCTCAGGGTGATTCTGTTTACTACTTACGTGGACCGGATTTGATTTAGGTGTAGCAGAGCAAACGGGGCTGGATGCAAATGAACGCCGAACTTTGCCGCATTGCTTTATAATGTTTTGTCGCATAAAATTAAAATAACATCTGTTGGATTTTGTTGTTTCAAAGCATCTCAAGTATGAGAAAGTTGAGGGGGTGTGAATACTCTCGCAAAGTTGCACCCGATTATCTTATGTGGAACTCGTTGCTGCTTCTCTGTCGTATTTATTTATTTTTCGTTCACTGCATGGCGTTAAATATAAAGCAGGCAAGAAGAAAAAAAAGGAAATCGTTTTTTTCTTTCTTCTTCTTCTTCTTCTTCTTCTTCTTCTTCTTCTTCTTCTTCTTCTTCTTCTTCTTCTTCTTCTTTTATTGTGAAGCCTTTAATTACGCACTTTGGAGTGTCCCAACGGGACATCTTGTTGGTCCTCAGTGCGCAATTGTGCGTTATTGCCACGCACAAGGAAGGCGTAATGGTGCATGCGCCAAGACCTGATTAGATGTTCGTGTGAGCGTGCGTCGATGTGTGTGAGAGTAACGCTCCTCAACGTGCTCAGAATATCTTGGACTGACGGATCCAGAGGGGCAGCCCGGTCACACGACCGGCGCCCGGGTTTTTCCCCAATATGCTTCCCCCCCTGCTCGCAGCGTTTGGGTCCTTCAGCGCGCCGTGTGCGTCGTTTGGTTTAATTCCAAAGCTCCCTGCTCTTTCTTTCCCTCTATTCTGCGCTGCGCATCAAGGTGGCTGCCCAGCGGGTCATCGCGGACAGTCCGGCGACTGGCTGAAAGCTGAGCCCGCCCGCACGCACGGAGATACGGACTGCAGTTTTACTTGAAGAGAGGAGGTGTGTAAGGGGGGTGGGAGAATGGAGAACCCGGCCAGGTATCTCTCTTCGGTGCAGGGGATAGATTCCGTGCCGGCGCCCCTCGGAGAGATCATGTGGAACAGCACTGAAACGGAGGCGACAAACGACGGCGGGAAGGATATGGTGGTGCGCACGGTGACCGGCTGCCTGCTGTCCTTGCTCATCCTTTGGACTCTGCTGGGGAACATCCTGGTGTGCTCCGCGGTGCTGCGCTTTCGGCACCTGCGGACCAAAGTCACCAACATCTTCATCGTGTCCCTTGCTCTGTCGGATTTATTCGTGGCCGTGCTGGTGATGCCCTGGAAGGCTGTGGCGGAAGTGGCCGGATACTGGCCGTTTGGCACTTTTTGCAACGTCTGGGTCGCCTTCGACATCATGTGTTCCACCGCGTCCATCCTCAACCTCTGCATCATCAGCGTGGATCGGTACTGGGCCATCTCCAGCCCCTTTCGATACGAGAGGAAAATGACCCAGCGGGTCGCCTTTGTCATGATCAGCATCACCTGGACACTCTCCGTGCTGATTTCATTCATACCGGTCCAGCTGAACTGGCACAAAGCCACCGCCGACGGGTTGGCCGGAGCGCACAACTCCTCCGCGAGTCGGCAACTGGAGGAGAACTGCGACTCCAGCCTGAGCCGCGAGTACGCAATCTCCTCCTCGCTCATAAGTTTCTATATTCCCGTGGCGATCATGATTGTAACGTACACCAGGATATATCGGATTGCTCAGATCCAGATCAGAAGGATAGCGTCCCTGGAGAGAGCGGCGGAGCACGCGCAAAGCTGCCGGAGCAACAGGATAGAGTGCCAACACCACAACACGCTAAAGACTTCGATCAAACGGGAGACCAAAGTGTTTAAAACTCTTTCGGTGATCATGGGCGTCTTCGTGTGCTGCTGGTTGCCCTTTTTCGTGTTGAACTGCATGGTCCCGTTCTGCAACAAGCCGGCTGCGGACCGAGACGCGGGCCTGCCGTGCGTCAGCGAGACGACCTTTGACATCTTCGTGTGGTTCGGTTGGGCCAACTCCTCCCTCAACCCCATCATCTACGCCTTCAACAACGAGTTCAGGAAGGCCTTCGCCAGCCTCCTGGGCTGCCGCTACTTCTGCTCCAGCACGCCCGTGGAGACGGTGAACATCAGCAACGAGCTGGTCTCCTACAACCAGGACACGATCATCCACAAGGAGATCGCCAACGCGTACGTCAACATGATCCCCAACGTGGTCGAATGTATGGAGCACGAGGAGACGTTCGACAGGATCTCGCAGTTTTCTCACAACAACGACAACGCCACAGACTCCGTTTGCGACTTGGAGGACTGCGAAGCGGACATCAGTCTGGACAGGTTGTCACCTTTCACCCCAAACGGATTACACTGACTCCACACGGTGCGTCACTGGGTGTGTTGGTGATTCTCAGAGCCGGCCCAAAGTTATCCGGGGGCCCTGGGCAGAATTTGATTCGGAGGCCCACTTCTGATTAAGCTCAACAGCTGTCAGCAACTAAAGCGCCACGAGTTTTTTTTATTGTCCATGCTCGATCATTATTTAAATTCTGCATTTGAACATTTTGGTTTGCAGCGAGATAGTTGGCCAAAACAAACAAACAAGCAAACAAACAAACAAACAAACAAATTCTTAAAGGGATAGTTCAGATTTTTATCAAATGGAAGGTAAATAATCAGAGCTGGGCCAAGAGAATCAAAGGACAGCCTCAGATTCAAAATGTTTGTAGAGATTTATGGGAACACAAAGATGTGAACCTTCAAACTGTTTGAATTAATTCATTATAAAGGTAGAAAGCAAACACACTGTGGAACAATTGTGCTCAGGCAGTCTGGTCAAAGCAACTACAGTGCCTTGCAGAAGCACTCCCAACCCTTAAACCTTTTATTTTTTACATTTTGTCACATTAGAGACAAATTTAATTGGTGTTTTATGTGATCGACCAAGACAAAAATATTTAAATGCAAAAAAAAAATCCACCAGACGTCACCCAAATAGCAAAGGGAGTCCACCTATTTGTAATTTAATCTCAGTAAAAGTCCCGGTTTTCACAAAGACCAATGAACGCAGCTGTCAAATCAGGTATAAAGCTGCAGAGAAGCTTAGCGTTATGTTATAAAACAGAACAGCAAGCTTTGAACGTCTTAGGTCTTAATCTGAAAATGGAAAATGCATCACACAGCTGCAAAACCCACCAAAATACCAGTACACCTAAATAAAAAGGCTCCAGTGTGTGTTCTGGACATGTATCAGTCATTAGCCACCACACAGTGCTTCTAAAGAACTATTGCCTTAAATTATGCAGAGATTAGCCCTGTGTTATAGAAAAGGCTAACTTGTTTAATCTCTATGTTACTTTGCTGAAAACTATGCCCGTAAATGTTATGTGGGCTAATCATTTAAAATCATTCAACTGACCTTTTCTGTCTCAATGAAGGCACATTTCTTCAAGTCATGACAAAACAAAATCCATATATAATAAATTTCTACAAGTAAAAAAAAACACCCTGTTTCTGTCAGTAGGTGTGACAGCTCTACAGAAATGTTCCTTTTGTGGGAATGAGGGCAAAATTGAAGTATTAAAATATCTGAAGCCTAACCTAAATTCACAAGCTAAGAAAGGAAAGCATAGATCGGAGAAGCATCCAACAGGACTATGGCAACTTTGGAGGAGCTTCAGAGATCTACAGCTCGGGGGAGAGAATATCTCGACAACAGAACTATCTGTCAGCTGGCACACAAATAGGGTAATCCTAAAAAAAAAAAAAAAAACTTTGTAAAAGACATGAAACTGGGGTGGAGGCTTGACTTTCAGCAAGACAGTGACCTTAAACAGACAACCAGAAGAATGGTTTAGATCAGTGTTTCTCAACCCTGGTCCTCACCACCCCCCTGTCCTGCATGTTTTCGGTATTTCCCTTCTGCCACACACCTGAATTGTATCTCTGGGTGATTAACAGGCTTCTGCAATACTTGATGGTCATGCAATCATTTGAATCAGTTGTTCTGGAATAGAGGCACATCTAAAACATGCAGAGCAGGGGGGCGGTGAGGACCAGGGTTGAGAAACACTGGTTTAGATGAAAGCGTGTTTATGCTTTTAAGCGATCAGAGATCAAAGTTCACACCGAAATCCAATTCAGAAAATAAGACCTGACAATTTATGCTCACTGATGCTTGCCATGCAGTCCGACTGAGCTTCAGCTGCTTTGCTATTCCAAGAAGTATCTCCATCTCCAGATGGGCAAAGACGGTAGAGAAACTGACATGGTGGTGCGATCGTACCTAACGCTGGATGCACACAGTATTGACTTAAGGGACCTGAATACAAATCCACACATCTACACATTTTAGATTTATATACAAAAAGTATAGCCATGCAACATTTCCCAACCACTTCACACTTTGTAATGGTACATCACATAAAATCCCAATAAATGGCGTTGATGCTGGTGATTTTGATGTTAAGAAATCTGGAAAGATTCAAGAGGTATGTAAACTTTTGCAAGGGACAAAAGCAAGGCAGTGTAGATTTTTTTTTTTTTTTTTTTTTATAACTCCACATTTGTCAACTTCCCCTTTGGTCCTAAGTGTTATTTAGGAGCCCTGAGGCCGACTGGAGTGGCAGCTAAGCTCCAGCATTTCCTGCCTTGGGCCGGCTCTGATGCTTCCATCATTGTTAATTTTCCCAGAAGCCCCTCTCCATTGGAGTGGGGGACAACATAGGGGTTCCCTGAGCTACTGTGGTGGGGTCTGACAACCTTTCCGTAGACACAGTAGACCACCCCACTATGGCTTTACATCATATATAAAACGTGACGTTGTTGTCCTGTTCTGAAAACAAAACAAAAAAAAAAAACGTGACGTGTAGATGTTTATTTACTTGGCAATTAAAGTCCGTGTTCCTTCGTTCAAAGGTTCAGTGTTGCTGAAACTGTTGCTAACTAAAAAGGCTTTACTCGGTGCGCCAGTGTCTATAACGTCCGTCTACTCCGAGGATCCACAAAGGAGACTTTCCACCTCTTTACTAACCATCAAGCGTACTCAGCGCCCACCTTTCCATTGAGCGTGAAAACTGAGGCCAGCCTTACGAGACAGTGTGACTGAAACAGTCCAATGCAGTCAATTTAGCGCCTTACAGCCTGGTGAACAAAGAGATTTGAGACATGCAAGGAATGTGTCCTGTAGAGTTTAAGTTACGTGATGCCAAAATGCATTATTGAAGCGTTTCGCCACACCGACCTCCCAGGTGACTCTCTTTTTAGCACATGCGCTCAGGACATGTGGACACTTTTAATCTGAGCTGCCACAGGCTTTTTAATAGAGAGGCAAAAGCACAAAATCTAACGTGAAGGATACGCAGAGGAAGCCTGCATGTGCTGGAATCTCTAACTCACATCTTAAAGTAACAATTGTTTTAACACATTGCTATGGTCAGAGTTATTTTCTATGATGTTTAATTTCACACAGAGGCCAAAATATTTGTGTAACGCTTCAGCTGTGTGAGCCAGACACAACTCTGTCTGATCAGACTCGAAGACGAAAAGAAAAAGAGAAAAAGAAAAGAAAAGAAAAAGTCTCCCAGACATTACTTGAAACCAATCGGACAGCACAGCTGGATATCACATCCACATCCTGATGACCTGATCTGAATGTATTTACTGTCCTTTTCAATGGTGAAGTGTGTCATAATTTGTCTAATAAAATAAAAGGCTGTCATTCAGAGTGGAGTACAGCACATGAGTATCTTCCTGAAGTATTGTTTTCCATAAACACAAAACTGTTGGTTTATATATACACACATCTCTGGAAAAAGTTAAGAGACCACTTAAAATGATCAGTGTCTCTGATTTTACCCTTTATAGGTTTATGTTTGAGTAAAATGAACATTGTTCTTTTATTCGATGAGCTGCTGACAACATGTCCCCGAAATCCCAAGCAAAACTTTAGAATTTATTTACAGAAAATGAGAAATGGTCAAAATAACGAAAAAGATGCAGCGCTTTCAGACATGAGATAATGCAAAGAAAACAAGCTAATATTCATTTAGAAACAGCAATATTACTGTTTTACCTCAGGAAGAGTTCAGAGATCAACATTTGGTGGAATAACCAGGAGGTTTTAATGGGGTTCAATGCAGTGGGATCTTTATTTTTTTCATAGCTGTAAGTACACATAAGGTCAATGCGTTAAGTTAAATTCAAAAATTTCAAATTTCATATTCCAGCGGTATTTCCTTGTTCTTATATCTAAATCAGGTAGACTGACCTTCAACAAGCCCCATCCTACCACACAGTACAGTCTGTTCTATTGCTATCATTATATTCAACATCAGAGGAAAGAACAAAAAAAAGAAAATGCAGTTGCTCAGCAGTCAGAGATGGAAGATGCTTTTGTTTTAAGTGTGCAGCTTAAATTACTGTAGCTGCTCTGTTCTGTTTTATTTTAAGTAATACAAGCAGAACACACCATTTTATTGGGGAAAAAAAATTGATTGGATGTAAAAATCCAAACTTTAATATGGTGAGATTTACATCAGGTAAAATTGTGAAAGTGAACATTGAAATTGTCGCCGTTTGCTTTAGCTTAACTGTCTGTGCCGTCGTCCATCTTGGTTCAGCAGTCATGAAATTCTGGCTCAAACCTGTGACTCTCTGGAAAACTTCAGAATCCACGTTGAAATCTGTCAAAAGCTGATCAGCTCAGTTCTAGTTGCTCTTTTAATGCCACCACAAAGCAGAATTAGCATTTGTTTTTCCTTTGTGCAGTTTTTGCAAAGCATTGTATTTGTGAAACCCTGCTATAGAAATCTCTGCTAGTGGAGAATGTGGAGCCTGACCTCTAGTGCAAATATGGTGCAGAGATTCTGAACAAAGCAGCCTTAAATTTCCTGCTTTCCCATCCTCCTTGTGCTTAGTTGAGCCGAGATGTTTTACGCTCAAAGTTTTTGCAAAATCATGCAGAAAACAAGCCACACAGACAGAGAAACCACAGGGTACCGACACCTAATTACTGCAACTGCGAATCTGTGCATTCAGGCACCGAGCTCATCTTACAGTTCTGCAAACCCTCAGGAGGTTCCATTTACTGCAGCATGTTCCTGTTTAGCAAGAAAACAGGACAAATAATTATCAAAATAATTTCACTCTTTAAAACTTTTCTCTCGGTTAATTTTTTTTTAAACTGATAAATTGGGAAATGTACAGCTTTTGTCTTGCAGTTTTCAAGTGTTTTTTGAAAACTTTGTGACACTCTTTCTCTTTCTCAAACACACACACAGCTCTTCTCACTGTGCGTACTTCTATTGTATACCTACAGTAGGTAACTCTTTCTAATTCCTGAGGCAGAACCCAGATAAATAATAGAGCGTTGGAGCTTTATAAACTTCATACAAGCTAGTAGGACAACACTTCCTCCTTTCTCTAAGGCATTTCACAAGGTTGGAGTACAAAAAGGTGGATCTTTAACCACTCTTCTTTGCACAGTCTCTCTAGATCCATGGTTGTAAAACCTCAGCGCAATCTCCATTGCTTAAACTTGTGCTGCCTGTAGTGGTACTTAGAATGTTGATATTATATATTTGATGTAGATACAAACATATAAACTGTGAAGTGGAGAGTGGAAAAACCAGAAACAAACAATGTTGGCTGCTTATGTGAATTCTTGGTATTTTTAAGCACTTGTTGCAACACATTCTCTAAAAGAGGCTGAGTATCACCATGTGTAAAAGACTGAATGAGTAAGAAAATAAACTGTCCTTTAAACTGTGGCTATGTTTTATATGCAAGGTGGCCAGTGCTATTGCCATACACCATAAAAAGGTTTCCTAGAAATGTAGAACAGAAACAGAACGTCAGCATTTTACAGGCTCTGCTCCACACTTACTGGCATTTGAGGAGCTTCACAAGATCTCGTCATCGATTGCACCAGAACTACATTGAGTGTTTGTTGCTGAAAACCTCAGTGTGCGTTTCT